CAGCTGCCAACTCCACGAAAGATCAGCAAGGGAGTGGAGGCTCCAAGTCGCCAGCTCCTGGTCCGGAGGACATGGCACTGCTACATCAGCTGTACGGCCTGGGGCTTGCTGGATTCCCCGGCGCCATGCAGGCTGGAAATTTGTTCCTGCACCCAGCAATGTTCTCTGCCGCAGCGGGTGAGTAACGTTTCCATATACGAACGAAACAATCTTGCAACACTTCCTTTTACAGGTTTCCCTTTTTGCTATGAAAACTGGTTTCACTAAGCCATAGTTACTCAAGTAAACATTTTACACTGTTTAAAGACGTAAATTCTGGTTTAAAACCCTGAGCCTCTCCAATTATAAATAGTATGTTTCGTGTTTAACTCTCAACTGTACCGTTAACAGTCAGATAGACACAAATTATTTTAACTTAAAAATACTTTTTATTTTGTTTTAAATTAACTATATCTTCCAGCATATAGAAAATTCTTCACCGAGTAAAATTATTTTATTAGACATTGACGTAACTAGTATTTGTTTTGGAGGCAACGGATTATATTGAATTTAATGTTTGTTTAAGCTATTGTATTTAAAATAATAACGTTAGTGTTACCGAGTCTCTAATGTTAGCCATGAATTAAAATTTTTACTTGTTTGTAATTTAGCAGCGTCCCTTATGTTTATTTTTGCATGAGGGCGATATGGAAAGTATTTTGTTATAAAGAAATATGGGACGTAGTTTACCTAATGTAGCGAAACTATGAAAGCCACACACTTGGAATTAGTTTTGTTGAATCGTCCTTCGTAATTTATATACGAGTTTACCTTAGTAATAAAAATGAGATGCTACAACTTTTCTAAACTTAAATGCGTTTGGCCCCCACGATGCTGTGATCAGATTTATTGGCCATTCAGATGTCATAGTTGTCCAAACCGTAGTGAATCTGGCTTAAGCCGGCATTTATTTCGAGGTTTGCGCAATATGTAAATGTTCTCATCTTACTCTTAAAGTGCAGTTTATCTTATTATTTTTATTTGTTTCCATAATAGTCGTGTAGAAAAATGTTTTATTTTAGATATATAGTATAATTTGGCAAAGTGCAGTTGAAGTATTATACGTGATGCATTCGAGAAAATAAAGAATTTATATTATGCCTTCCAAAAATTATGTAGTTTAGTTATTTCCTTGTAAGCTAATGCTATGTTACAGGAAGGACAATTAGATACGCCTTTTTCTGAATCCACCCCCTTCAACTCCGAGTTCTTTGGCGATTATTTGTGAAAAAAGTGTACACTTGTAGATTCCATTGCTTATCATGTCCTTCATGTGATAAAGTGAAGACGATCACTGGCTAATTTAAGCTAAGTGATCATATTGATATACACGCGTTACTAAGTATGTTGTGCGTATTTACTCATACATTCTTAGCGGAGTTTGTGTTAATGGCAGAAATTGCAGAAATTTATGGTAGTATACGTGTACCCATAATTATACTTCGACCAGGATATTGCCATCAATAATTAAGATGGCTGTCTTCTAGGATATTGCACTGTGTAGTCCGGTAGATATTTATCGACGTTTTAGAGAAACTTACTGCCTCCATTATCAGGGTGACTTCAAAAATTCCTTTACTGCTTCTCGATGTTTATTGAAATTTTATAGTGACTTACACCAATTTTCGCACTTGACGTAATCGTCTCTGAGAACTCACATGGACACTTTTCTTTGGAAATATACCTCCTGTTTATTTTGTTACGTTTTATTTTAAATGTGTGTGTTTTGAAGCGATGGACGCTGATCAACATCTCGGTTCCTTTGATGCATTCTTTACCCATCGTACATAGTTTTTGTAAAAAAAGGTGTTAAAGGATTCCAGTTTTTGTTATAAAGTTTTTGAAATCAGTTTTTATCTCACTGCATGATACCTATATAAGTTAAAAGTTTGGAAAAGGAATGAAGCAGTGGACACTATTGTTCACATAATGCACCATCGAATCGAGCCAGGTTTGTTTCCATTGCTGAGGATTCAATGTGTTGGTTACGGCTTCATTATTCGTCTGGCATCTCCATAGCAACCATGATAGGAGAGAAAAGAAACAAAAGATTCGGTCGGGAAGAAAGACTTGAGTGTGGAAAAAAGTCGGATCAAACAATCTCGCGTTTTCTTCTTTCTTCACTACGCGTAACCCGGCGATTACACCGCACTGTTTTGAAAGACTCTGATGTAAACCATTTTCCCGTCCCCTCCCCATGCCATGTGCCCCGCATGTGTTAGAGACTATTGTTTCTGTAAAAGACTTTGTAATCGTCTCACTTTGGAATTCCTCATTCAGAGGTATTCTGGTCTTTTAAGTGCTTTGTTTCTGGACAAATGGACAGGGGTGAGCACGCAGATATTGACATCGGCACGAAATGAGAGTGAATTTCTAATCACTGTCAATTTAACAGAAATTGGTTTTCATGCAAGGCTGGCAGAATTTCGAATAGCCTCGAAATAATATCGTGTTTGATATTGCGGTGCATGAAATGTATTCTATAACAAAGTGAAGATAAGTAATGTATTCACTTTTATTGTTAGTCAACGTTATTTAGTTTTAATTTGTGGAAACAGTGCATTTAGACAAAAAAAAATTCACTCATCCATGGTCTGCTATGTACACGTACATATTATACAACTCAGAGAAACGGATGTTTACTTGTTAACACTTCGAAAATAAGCAAAAATAAGTAAGGATTTTAATTGTTACATGCTGAATCGTTACACTTTTTAATACAAAAGCTCGTTTCTAAGTACTACTTTAAAATTCTGTAGTCATTTTTCTTGTAGTATAGAGAGAACGAGTTTGGGGAGGTGTTCCCTGGCAAATGAGACATAGAAATATTCAGATACGTCTTTTAGGTACAGTTTTTAAAAATAAGATTTATTCAGATTTGGTTGCTGCATATTCGTACATCCTGTACCACAAAGAAAAGGTTATTCATACCAAGTCGTTTCGAAATGTTCTGTAACTTATTATGTTTTGAAGGCAATTCTAGAAATCGGTAAGATCATAATTGAGTGGGACACATAAATTCGCAGACTATGCTGATGGTGTTAATTATTCGATTAAACGTGAAACCGCAGAAATTTGTTTGGTTGAGGAACTAAACGCTGGGATAAGTAGACTTACAAGTACGTGTCTTCTGATCAGAGTGTGGGACAAAATTCGAGACTAATATAAATACGTCTACATTTCTTTAGAAAATTTTCACATGGTTTGGATCTAGAGCAGGCAATCAAAATATGCTTTTGAAATTTTAGGAACAGATTGAATTCGATTAATTCTTTCATTCCTTTCAGAATAATTTATCTCCTTGCATTCTGTCTGAAATGTAAATAGATAAAACTTTGATGCAGGAAGTTTTCGGCCATCTGCGCTACTGTCAGTTTCTCAAGTAGGACATTGCTTCGTGCAGACCAGTTTAACGCGTGGGCCACATCAGGCCTGTGGACTCTTGGACTTCTGTTTGCACTCCTGTACAACATTTTAACACTTTTCATTTTACTCCTCTTATTTTCACTTTTAGAAGAAGAAAAAGGCATTTGGGTTGCAAGTAATACCTGAATACCTTACTTGATTCCTGTTTGCAGCATATTTATGAGGCTTATACAATACTTTTCTTCTCCTTTCACGCCCTCACTTACACACTCACACACGGACTCAATTCAGCTCCGTTTTCTTTTCTCGTCTGTCCCCGCCTAACTTACCCCTTTCAGTACAATGCAACTCTATTAACTTCTTCTTCTTCTTCTTTGGTCTGTCCCGAAGTCTATTTTTTTTTTCAGAGTTGTGCTACCGGCTTTTCGCCCCAGTGCTGCATGGCCGTCAGTCAAAGTCGTAGCCTGATGGTGCCCCTGTGAAAGGGTGCTTCTTTGTCGTGTGGACGGTGACATCAGACGTGACTCGCGGAAACTCTACCATCACCGTGTAGAATTTGCATGAAATTGTGCGGGGTCTTCTGCTGTAGGGATTCTTGAAGGAGTAAAGAGTTACTATAGATCTTTCACGGAATTTAACTATTCATGGGGAATTTTACGGTTGTTCATCTTTCAAACGTAAACATAAAATTCTTCGAACGGGTTTAACGCAATTTTGAAAATTATTTAGTAAGGGATTTAATTTAAACTATATTTAGTTTTGTTTAGGTGAACGACCTTTCGTCTTTTAGTGAATCTTTGTTTGGAAAGCTCGATTGTACAGAAACAATTTGTACATTTGGTACCAGCTGAGACTTTGAGTCCAGTGTTATCTGTAGGACAAGAGATCCCACGGAGGTTGGGGGCCTCCCACATTGAACTCGTATTTATAAAACTTTTATACTTACATTTTAAATGCATTTCTGGTCTTAGAATTATCAGGAAACCAATTTATATTTACGCCCTTTGATAATGAACCATGAATGAAGTTAATGGAATTAGCAAGTAACTTAAACGTTCTCTGTTATGCACTTTGCCTCCTCCAGCGCAGTCTCAGATCTCTGCTCGCGTCCTGTCGCTTTGCTCTGTGCGGACCTCGTTTTCAGCTGCAAATTTTGTATCCGTCGGAACCTAAACAGCACAGGCTTTTCGCCGCACGTTTCATAATGATCTTCATTTTTGCTTGCTTTTATTTTCAAGTCACGTCTCGCCACTGAAAGATCCTTTAACTTCTTTATTTGTAATTTTACTTTCTAACAACTAACTCCATGCAGCAGTCCTTCTTGAGAAGCTAGAAGTCCATCAGGTGGTCAAGAATTTTTCCCTCTTTCATAAAACCAGAAGGTTCATTACTATGTTCAGAAGAACCCGCCATTTAACACTGTCGAAAGTTGGTTGAATCTAGTCCTAGCCTTCACATCTTATTTCAGTGACATTACTTTAATATGATCCTAGGTTTTCCCTTAAAGTTTTCGAAATACAAATTTGTATTGCTTTTTATCTCCGTTATGCAGGCTACATTTCTCCGCTCATAATATTGGTTCCTGAAATAAGTGCTCGAAATTTCTTTAAGATATCGTTACAAAAAGTTCTCCAGAAAGTAGAAGTACGAAACGTTGAGTCGATAGTGTTTTTAACATCGGGCCTTCATATTGGAATATCAGTTTTTAAGTTCCATACATTTGGATTATAGTCTAAAACAAAGTTTAAATTTTCTACAGTGACAGCCAATCC